ACCTCAACTGAGAAAATTACTCTATTAGACTGGCCTGTAGGCAAATCTTTGGGGGCATTTTCCTGATTAAGATTGATGTGGAAAATCTCACTATAGGCAGTGTCCTAGGTTGTATAAGAAAGAAAACTGAGCAAGTCCTGGAGAGAAAGCCAGTAAATAGCACTCCTTCATGATCTCCGATTCAGTTCTTGCCTCCAGGTTCTCACCTCACTTCACTGAGTTCCTACCTTGGCTTCCTCCAGTGATGGACTATGATCAGACTGTGTAAACCAAAACCACTTTTTCCAAGATGGTTTTGATCAACGATCTTTAGTGCAGCAACAGAAAGCAAACTAAGCCACCCTGACACAGCGATTACAGGCTGAGAAGTCTACCTAAGAAAACAGCGGAGGAGGAGTAAAGTGGTAAGGTGCTTGCTGTGTGAGCGGGATGTCCTGAGATCCACCCCAGAACTATATAAAGAAGCTGGGTGTGCTGGAAAACAGTTGTAATCACTGGAACTTGATCGCTGGCCAGCTTAGACTATTCAGTGAGCTGTAGACCAATGAGATTTCTTACTCTATCTCCAACCAACCAACCAACCAACCAACCAACCAACCAACCAACCAACCAAGGTATATGGCTCCTGAGGAATCACATTTGAAGCTGACCTCTGGCTTCCACATGTATGTGCATCCACATGACATGCATTCACATATACTCACACAAAGGAAAATAGGAATGGATGGTTTTGACAATTTTAACAACAAAAATTTGAAATGAACCTAAGTTCTTAAGAACTTGACTAAATAAATACACTATAGTGAAAGGACTCGAAAGGTATAGTGGAGTGTAGAGGAACAGTAAGAGACAAGTCACCAAAATTGGAAATTACAAAACAATATAGTCAACCATTCCCTTTTTTAAAAATAGAAGTCTATGTGTAGGGTGTAGTCTCAATGGGGACTACTGCTACTCATCTCATATGATTTTGGTTTTGTTCTAACTCTCTAAAACTTTTGCTAAGCTATAAATCTTACCTCAAGATCTGTAATCATATTGAATAAGGTTACAAATCTGAAAAATCTGTAACACTGTGGTTGATAGTTAAAAATCTGTACTTAGGTAATCTTGAAGGAACCATATGGTTTGATGCCATTTTGGGATAAACCAACCAAAGAGGAAACAACTCCTCCAAGCTATGAAGCCCAAACCAGATGATCCCTCCATTATTTCCTATCACACTAGCAAACCTCCCCTTATCAGCCTCAACCAGCAGCAGTCCCTTCTCTTTCTTTCTAGCCTCTCTGGTTCCCCTTTCTCCTCAGTGACAGGCTCCCTACCCAGTCAAGGCTGAGTATGTGGTGTTAAAGTAGTACTCAACTATTATGTATGAGGCCTTGCTCTATGTTAACCAACTGGGTATCCAATACATTACCCAATCCTATAACCTTACTTTCCATGATGTGTTGGGGAATATTATTTTAAGGTGTGTGACTTTTGTTTATGTTGAATTGTTTAACTCTGTGAAGCTGTGTTATTATGCCTGTCATTAACACCTGAAGGTCTAATAAAGAGCTGATGGCAATAATAGCAAGGCAGGAGAAAAGATGGGTGGGGCTGGCAGACAGAGAGAATTACTAGAAGGAGAAATCTGGGAGAGGAGAGATCTAGGAGTGAGAGAAGAAGGAGGACATCAGGGGCCAGCCACCCAGCTACACAACCAGTAATGGAGTCAGAAAGAAAGGTACACAGAAATATAGAAAGGTAAAAGCCCAGAGGCAGAAGACCGACGAGTTAATTTAAAGTTATGAAAAGCTGGCTAGAAACAAGCCAAGCTAAGTCTGGGCATTCATAATTAAGAATAAGCCTCTGTGTATGATTTATATGGGAGCTAGGTGGCAGGCCCCTCAAAAGAGCAAAAACAAACAACAATGATGTTTATATGATTCTCGATAACAATCTTCTCCCAGAGGAGAAGGCTAGTCTGGGATCAGGCTGGGGCCCATGCAGATGAAATCCACCAAATTGATGACACCCACCCAGTTGTGGTTAGGGCAGTCCCCGACCAGGACCCTGAATGGACTTAAAATACTCCAGGAGATATCCTAGCTAGGAATAGATTTTTAACTTGCCTCATGACTGGTCTCCATAAGGCTACCCTTAAGGCAGCAAATTATAAAAAAATTCAAGAGATAATATAGGACAAACACAAAAACCCACTTCAATTTCTAGACTGCCTTACAAAGGCCCTCTTACAATACACCAATCTGGATCCTGAGACCCGAGATGGGAAGCAACTCCTTATGACTTACTTTTCCCAAAGTTCCCCTGATATTAGGGACAAGTCTAAACATCTAGAGAGGACCCTTGACTCCACAGGCCAAAGTCTTAACTGTGCCTTTTAAGGTGTACCATGGGAGAGATAAAAAGCACCAAACCAAAAATACCTGGAGCTAGTGAAGGTCTTTTGACCAGCCATAGCAACTGCTGAGGCTCTCTGGCCTCCCAAAGCCTGAGAACTCCCATCCCTGTTTCAAATGCAGTCAGGAGGGTCACTGGGCCCAGGCCTGTCTGAACCTTTATACCACCCGAACCATGTCCAAGGTGCTATCAAGAAGGGCACTGCCCCCATGGGCCTCGTGGCATGAGAACATCAAGCCCAGATTGCCCTTCAACCTACCTCCTTGGTCTGGCCATGAATGACTCTGGGGGCCCAGGCTCTCTTGACCTGACCACCACCATCTCTGACAAGGAGCCTCAGGTAGTTATCACAATATCAGGGTGATCCATCTCCTTCCTCTGGACACCGGGCCCACTTCTTTGGTCCTGACAAAGTTCTGGGGTCCCACCTCTCGTTCCTCTACTGTTGGGGTAGGGAGGACAGTCTTACCAGGCTCACCAAACCCCACCTCTTGGCTGTATCTTTAAGGGTATCCTCCTTAGCCATTCCTTTCTAATGGTATCAACTTGTCCCATCCCCTTGATGGGAAAGGACCTCCTAGCCAAAGTGGGAACCTCTATTTCTTTTGCTCCCCTCATCTGCTTGACCCCAGGCTCGCCAGCCATCCCCCTCCTCCTTTTCCTCCAAACCACATGATCTGACATACCCTTTCCCTTACCAGCCTCTCAGGTAGATCCCCGGGTATGGGACACTAAACTCTTCTATAGCCAAACATTACTCCCCTTATCATTCAACTACAAAACCCCACCAAATATATAACCCAGGCTCAGTACCCACTCTCTCTCCAAAGCCTCAGGGGACATAAGCCTCCCATCTCTGATATCTTAATAAAGAATCTTCTGTTCCCCACTTCTCACTTTAATACTTCCATACTTGCAGTTAAAAAAAATAAACAATGGAACCTACTTCTTGGTTCAGGATCTCTGACTTATCAACTCAGCAGTGGTTCCCCCTTCACCCTGTAGTACCCATGAAATGTCTTAACATTTCAAAATGACTTAAGTTGTTGATTTGACTCTTAAGGTGTGTACAGATCATTTGTTTCTGCTGGCTTCTGCTATCCATCATATTTGGTTCTAAATTCGTCAGCTGCTTCTTCCCTCCATCTGCTCTAACCACCCATCTCTCCTCACCTACTTGGTAAATGTCCTCTCTGACTCCTGGAATCTGATACACCATGTGGGCAACTCTATTTATTACGACACTTGCTCCTCTCCCTGTATTGGAATCCTCCCTGTTTTCTGGCCTCCTCCCCCTAGGAGCTGCCTGCTAAGTCCCATAGCTTCCTTAAGCCCTTCTGGGTCTCTGTGACCTTGTCATTCCTGCCTCTCAGCTCCCACTTGAAGCTTACAGAAACTCCCTCCAGCAGAGTTCATTTTTCAAACCTTTTCCTCTTCCTCCACAGACTCCACTTTATTAAAGCTCGCTCTGGCCTCAGCACAGTTCAAATGGCCAAAATTGGCATGCTCAATTTTCAATGATAACTTCTGCCACTGCACAAACAAATGATTCAACAATCTTTCATAAACTTGCTTTCTCCTCTATTTCTTCTTACCTACACCTTTCTGGGGTAACTTGTACATATGGATGTTTACTGTCCAAGAGACCCCCACCTCTAACCAACAGCCCATCCTAATAGGGTCAGGAAATTGCTCTCTATTAGGCTGTCAAAGGCTGATCCAGTTCCCTTTACTCCTTCACCCGTCTCTCCTTTATTGGTGCTTACCACCTATGCCGGTTTTCTCTATTTTTGTATGATAATTCCTGTCCTGAAAGCAAAAATCATAAAAACAGGGTTTATGACAGAACTTAAAAAACAGTATTTGTTTAATAAGGTACTAAAGCTGTACTTCCATGTACTCATACAGGAATGTTCCCTGTGCTGGTAGCTGAACTTTTAACACTTCAACCAGGCCATTCTCATGATGGGACAGCACACCCACGAGCAGGTTGCCAAAAGGAGATACTTATCCATGTAATATTTAATCAACTCCTAAAACAACTGTCCTATATGCTTGCTTTCTCTATGATCAAACTAGAGATTACTGTTGACACTGGCCAGAAACTTATGGAGGCTGTGAGAAGTTGTTTGGTCTGGCTCCAGTCTTAGAAATTCCTGGGCCATACTGTAGAGGAAGGACAGCATGCTCCCAGGACCCTCTTCTTACCAAAACTAGGAGCATTCAGTCTCTGTTATTCTTTTCTTCATAAGAAAGTTCTTAACATGTTATCTCTTTCCTCTAATTCTTTTGATTGCTTATTTGTCTTTGAAACAAGGTATTGCTATGTAGTCCAGGCTTTACTTGCTCTGTAGCTTAGGCTGCCCTCAAACTCATGGCAATTCTCCTGCCTCATTTTCCTGACTGCTAGGATCTGGTCTCTAACTTGAAAAAAATTTGCATATTAATTTTTAGCAAGTCATACACAAACTCTAAAGCAGGATTTAAGATGGTTAACTTCTCTATTAGAACCATGCCAACCGATCTAGACTACCTGTCTGATGCAAATAGGTTCATTTCAGAGGAGAGCACACCAAACAGTGAAGTTATAATTTTACCTGCTTGAAGTTGCCATTTTTCCTCTGTTCCCAGTCCATCATGTCATGAAAGATAGGAATCATGATATTCCGCACTTCTGGCTGTGGGACCAGTGTCACACCCAGAAAAGGACCGATCATTCCCGGAATAAAGTGGATCTTATGTTCACCTGAACAATAAAACCCAACAAGTATTAGTTCATTCCTGCTTTGTTCCGTACATGGAAGATTCACAAGTGAGGCCAGGAACATGTTACAGTTTAGAGTGAGCCTGGGAATCTAGGCTCAGTGGTGGTACAGTGTTTGCCTAGCATGTGTGAGGTCCTGAGATAGATCTGAATTTCTCAGCATTGAGAAAGCCAAACCAACACACTCTACTTTCAACTGCTTATTTATATTAGAAGCTTCTAAGGCTAAAAGATGATTTAGTCTATGGTTTTTGAGATACTCCCTCTGCTTTTTATCTTTTTATTATTTTTAAAAATTCTTTAAAAACATTTATCATTTTATTTTATGTATATGAGTGTTTTGCCTGAATGTATGTCTGTGCACCATGTGGGTGCCTGATACCAGATGGTACCACCTGGTATCAGGTGCCAGAAAAGGGCATCTGATCCCCTGGAAATGGAGTTAGAGATGGTTGTGAACTACCATGTTGGTGATTGGAGTCAAACCTGGGTCCTCTGGAAGAGCAGTCAGTGCTCTTAAGTGCTGATCCATCCCTTTAGTTCATTCCCTCATCTTTTTAGGGGTTTCAATTGACTGGCCTAGTCAATTTGAAACACATGTTCAAAGGGCACAAAATTTCTTTTAAAAAAATTTCCCGTAAGTTTAAATAACTACCTGAAAACCCTCAGAGCAAGGAAATAGCTCGCTTTCTACAGATGAGTAATGTGCTAAGAGTTTCAGACATCTATTTACAGCTTCTGTTTAGTAAGGAAAATCTGTATGTTTCTGCTTAAACACAAAGGACCTTCCTGACAATTCTACTTCTAGAAGGCATTTCAATGATCAGAAAGTCTAGTCCAAGGCTTAAGCTACTAAATGCCTGAAGTCCATGGACCCCTTAAATGCCCACACTCATGTATGCTAATAACAAACAAACAAACCCTCTACCTGAGCTAAGAGCTTACTCCATAGCTTCACCCTAATAGGCTTGCTTGAAGACCTAGACTTTTTTTGTACCCTCCCACCCCTGTTCTTCACACTGTATTCTTATGATAGGAATACATCCACTCTGATCAGATCCACTCACTCTCCAACTTCCTTTATAAGGCCTTCCTATGGGAAGTGAAGTGAGTGATACAGCTTTTCCTCTGGTTGGTCTGTTCTCTAGGGAGTATTCCTAGAAGCCAGGGTCAGTTCTGAGGACTTTTCTTTGCAATGGTGTAACAGAAAGAACCAACTTCAGATCTCTGTTTTCAGTACTGAAGAGACTACAAGAGTGGGACTCTTTGCTTGTGTAGTAACTGCTACAGTCAAGTAACTAGCCCCCCTGCTAGTTTGGGGGGCACCAGGCAGAGAATGTTATTTCCTTCAAAAGCAATGAATGGCTTTACAAGACAAATCTAATATCTAAAAAAAATTGGCAGTATTGGGGACTGAACCCAGGCTAACACCTCTTTTGTTTCTTTCATTTTGGAAACCTGTCTAAGAAGCAAATGTTAGCTCCAAGGCTCACTCTGCATACTCTGATCTTGGTACCTGGTATAGTTATCAGTCTCTTGTGATCCTAGGAATTTCAAAGTCAAGTTCAATGTTGAAAAATATATGCAAATTCTGTTGTGGGAAGGTAGTAAGAGTGATAAAGCTAAAAGGCCTGTTTGGAAACACATGCCTACTGAGGGATGAAGAGTCCTATTGCTGTCTTTTTTTTTTTTTTTTTTTTTTTTTTTTTTTGGTTTTTTCGAGACAGGGTTTCTCTGTGTAGCTTTGCGCCTTTCCTGGAACTCGCTTTGGAGACCAGGCTGGCCTCGAACTCACAGAGATCCGCCTGGCTCTGCCTCCCGAGTGCTGGGATTAAAGGCGTGCGCCACCACCGCCCGGCCTATTGCTGTCTTAAATATATTATTTTATATGCATGAGTGCTTTGCCTGCATGTATGTATGTTAAGTGTACCATGTACATGCTTAGTGCCTGCTGAGACCAGAAGAGGGCATCAGATGCCCTGGAAATGAAGTTACAGATGATTGTGAGTCACCATGAGGGTGCTGGGAATTGAACCCAGGTCCTCTAGAAGAGCAGCCAGTACTTTTAACTGCTGAGCCATCTCACCAGTGCCCCCTGACACCATACTTTTCATCTCTAGATCAGGGTGAGGAAGGTTCATAGGTGACTTTAAGATTCTATGATCATCATTCCTATGGCTTAAGAGGCACAAGCTTGGTTTAAATCACATTTCATTGAAAATATAACTAATTAAAAAAATATTTATTATGTATACAGTATACAGTGTTCCACCTGCACGCCAGAAGAGGGCACCATGTGGTTGCTAGGAATTGAACTCAGGACCTACTGGAAGAGCAGCCAGTGCTCTTACCTAACCGCTAAGCCATCTCTCCAGCCCCCATATAACTAATATTTTAAAATCTTCCTGACAGAAGATTCATATCCCTCCAGAATTCTGGGTGGCCCAGCTACTCATCGAGGCAACTGCAAGACTCTACCAGAAACACTGATCTGACAATTTTAGATTCAAAGTAGTATCTATTAGAAGTGTTCAAAGAAAAAGCCAAAGTCAATCTCATCCAAAGGCTCTTTCATCTTTCATGATCTTTCAAGTAAGTGGTATCAGATACATGATCTGGACACATAAGTACCCATGATCCAAAATTTATTTCGATCTTTATTAAAATCAATACCTGTCCTTTTTTCATGCTGTCTCCATGATCAACACTTCTAAGCCTATAACATGTAGACAGGGACATGAGTAGTATAGAGGCTCTTACAGCATGGATTCCCAAACTGGAAAAAACTACTGAGTCTTCCTTTTACTCTTTTAACTTCTGTTCCCAAAATGGAATGCATATGTCATAGTAGGATCTCTTAGCCAAACTCTCCCTGGCAAGGAGGGCTTTATATACATATGCTACACTACATTATTCATCTGAGGTGCTATGTTAAAGATATGTGAGGATCTCTGGGGTCTGAACTGATATTCAGAAAGCTTTGGAGAATTATTAGTTATTGTACTTTTTATTTACCTATGCAGTATATAAAAGGAAGAATCAGTAGAAAAGACTTACCCAGATTCTGCCACATGCTGAACAGTTCATACGCCATCATCACACGCATGTCCCCATACCTGAAAATAGTAACACAGAAGCCAACTGTTAGTGGAGGGAGGCAGACCTGAAAATCAAATGAGGTCAGAACATCAGCACTGTTCTTTCTAATGTTCTCAAAATTCTAAGTCATTTGGTTAATGACTGAACTTTCATACTTGGCTCCTTGGGAAACCACCCATGTGAGAAACTTCTGAACTTCTGAAAGAGTCTGTCATAGAAAAATAGTTCCATCTGGACAAGTAGCAGAGAGATGAACAGAAGACATCTGTCTTACTTGTCTAGAATCTTCTTCCTCTTGGCTGAAGTAATGATTTCTAGCTGAAGGCTTGGCTGGTTTATGAACAGAACTGCCAGGCTAAAATAAGAATTCCACACCTAGAGAGACAGAAAAAGAACCACATGGTTGCCTAAGTCCTTAACCTTGCAGGGAAAGTTAATTAAATACATGTGTAGCACAGAGTCCATTAGACAATCTTAAATTATTTTCTTAAGAAAAAAATTTCCTTTTAACTATCTTTAGAAATAGGTCTTTCCCCATTTTTGCTCCCTGGATTCTTTCTGAAGCCAACAATAGGCATCTTTATAGATGCCTGCTTCCCAATATTTCTACCAGGGAGGCTCTCAGCTCAAATACAATAACCATCAGCCTAGGAATCTATAGTACTATGAATATATTAATAAAGCAAGAAGGGGAGAACATAGAATTTAGCTTTCTAGGGTTACTGTGACAGTGATGAGTTTTAGGAGCTCCTACCTTGAAGTCAAAGTCTGTGTCTGTGAAATTCTTGTGCAGTGCAGAGGACAGGTACTGGACAGTAGTCACTATAATACTGCAGTGAGGAAACAAGGCATTGCAGAATTAAAAGACTAGCAGTGGCATAGCCTAGCATCGGCTGTCTGCCTGTAGGCAGACTTCTTGAAGACAACTTGCTCTTAGATAAGATGGGGCTTTAAAGGAAAAAGAAAATGGATGAAACTCCACAGAAAACCAGTTTCAGAGAAATGTCTCTTAGAAAGTCAGATGGCAAAGGATGTGGGTCACTGATAATTCTTCTCTCTTAAGACTTGTTGTTCTTTAAGATTTTTTTTTTCTAGCACAAAAAGTAATTTTAGTACTCTGGGCATCTTTGGATAACAACACAGATTATGATCACTTTGTAGGATTTAGAGCATAATTTTATCATTTTACCAGATAATAGGAGTTTATAGTGATTAAATATTTCCTTTTGTCATGTACTATTTTCATCTGGCTTCAGCCTTTGGACTAGAATATCACTCTTAATCTTAGCCTGGAACATATAAGGGTAATAATAGGACGATATTCCCGTGAGAATCAAGATTTGAGTTGAAGTGTAAAGGAAGGGAAATGTGATGCTAAGGGAAGGGAAGTTAAGGGTTTTATTACACAGGGCCTTGACTATGTGGCAAAGAAACTATGCTTAAGAGTGGCCACCTGACCGACCAGGTAAGTATAGGTGAAAAGAGCGTAAGAACAAGAGGGCATAGAGGATACCATGAAAACAAGGCCTCTAAATCAACATGATCAAAGCACATATATGAACTCACAGAGATTGAGGCAGCATGCACAGGGCCTACATGGGTCTGCACCAGGTCCTGCGCATATATATTATGGCTTCCAGTTTAGTGTTTTTAATGGGATTCCTGAGTGTGTGCATGAGCGGGTCTCTGATTCATGTGTCTTCTCTTGGGCTCTTTTCCTTTAGTTGGTTTTCCTTTTGTTTATCATATTTGTCCAATTCTAATGTGGTAGTTTAGTTTTGTCTTATTATATTTTATTATTATCTCCTAGAAGCCTGTTCTTTTCTAATGAGACAGAAAGGGAGTGAAGCTGGATGGGAGGGGAATTGGGGAGGAACTGTGAGGAGTAGAGGGAGGAGAAACCATAATCTTGATACATTATGTGAAAAAATTATCTATTTTCAATAAAAAGAAAAAGAAGTGGCCATATGGGTCTCTATAGAGAAAAGAAAAAAAAGCAAAAATAGTATATAAAAGAGACTAGTCTTCCAGCAGAGCAGGTGGCAAGGGTAAGGATGAAAGATAAAGAGCCTACTTCTGCAGGACAGGCTACAAAATCTAAAATTTTCTAAGTGTAACTAGGAGACAGAAATAAGAATGATCTAGCCGGGCGGTGGTGGCACACGCCTTTAATCCCAGCACTCGGGAGGCAGAGCCAGGCGGATCTCTGTGAGTTCGAGGCCAGCCTGGTCTCCAAAGTGAGTTCCAGGAAAAGCGCAAAGCTACACAGAGAAACCCTGTCTCGAAAAACCAAAAAAAAAAAAAAAAAAAAAGAGGTTCAACTTTATTGGCTGGAGAGATGGCTCAGTGGTTAAGAGCACTGACTTCTCTTCCAGAGGACCTGGGTTCAATTCCCAGCACCCACATGGCAGCTCACAACTGTCTGTAACTCCAGGATCTAACACCCTCACACAGACATACATACAGGCAAAACACCAATAAAATAAGAATAAAAAATAAAAAAAAAAAAAAAAAAGAATGATCTAGATAGAAAACCACTATTTGAGGAAATATTTGTGCAACTTCCTATCATTCTTTTGTTTTGGACAAAACATTTGTAGGTTTTAAGGAAAAAAAGGGCCCTATAAAGAGCTCAACATGAAAAAAATTCACATTGCTTTGCTAATATACCTAAAAATAATTTGACTGCATTCTATACGATGCCAACATAAAAGGCAGACCAGTGAGAGGAGGCAGTAGGCTAAATAGTGAAGACCAAGTAATCTATAGTAGACAGAGATCAAATGAACAAACTTCTTACTACACGTATCACTTCTCTAGTTTGCCAAGAGGAATCACAGATAGAAATATGAGTTGGGCAGACATATTAAGACAGTCTTAGTATTTCATCTCTATAGTCAGAAGTGCTCAGAGCTTTGCAGCCAGGGCTTAGGTGGACAGTTAGCACTAGGAGGTAAGTACTGTCTGGCAGACAATACAACTCAAATCAGGAGGGCAGCTTGGAACACTGCCTAAAGCTGCAGAACAACAGAGGTTCTTTCCTAGTATTATATTTCCCCTCTTTAACATAGCTTTTTCTATCCTCACTACTATAGATTCTGCTTTTTGAACTATCTTTCATTCTTTTCTTTCATTGTCTTTATGGCCAGTGGGCAAATCCTGCGGGTTGAATCTCTAAACAAATTTCATATTTGTCAACTCCTCTCTCTTCCCAGTCTTGGTCTTAATCTTCCTCCTACTCACATATACAAATTACCCCCAGCTTGACCTAGGGCTCTATGGATGCCAATACAGGGCCTTTTCTTACTTGCTTGTCAACAGTCTCATCACCATCCAGTCTCGAGGGAAGACACTCATCTTCATTAAGTTTCTGAACACACAGAAAATCTTCAGCAGAAATTCCTGACCATAGAAGAAAAGCAATGTGAGACAATGTTACTACTGCTGTCCCATTTCCTCAGCTGGCCCTTTCTGAACTTTCTGCTAGGAGAATGTGGTACAAGTGGGTTAGATTTGGTTCCCTCTCTGAGTTGTTTGTCTCTTACTAGTTACATGACAATGAATTCAGGACATTCTTCTAGGCCATATACAGGCAGAGCCAAATTTGGCAGACTCGAGACAGCTTTACATCAACTCTAGATCCACACCTAAAACCTAAAGCCCAGGGCAGACTATTATTCTCTAAGTAAGAGTCCTAATCAAGCATTTGATAGTAAGAACATGCTTCCTTTCTTTTTTTTTTTTTAATATTAGGAGCACTTTGATTGTTGAGAAAAAACACTTTAGGAATGGGAGTGTAAAAATCCAAAAATTCCTGGGGCTGAAGTCAATGGTAGAAGGTATACTTAGTATACCCAATAGCCAAGAGTAATTCCCAATACCGCCCTCAAACAAAACCCCCAAACAAAACAAAGCAAAACCCACAAACCTTCTAATAAATCTGTGTCCATGAAAATTATGAGGTGGCTAAGACTGATTAAACAATTCAATATTATATAATTTGAGGAGAATGTGCTGGCTAGTTTTGTCAACTTGACAAGAGTCAGCTGGGAAGAAAGAACCTTAACTGAAGAATTGCTTCTATCAGATTGGCCTGTGGGGCATTTTTTCAAATTAATATTTGATGTGGGAGGGGCCTATCAAATTGTGAGTTGTGCCACCTCTGGGCTGGTGATCTTGGGTTGCTTAAGAAAGCAAACTGAGCAAGCCGTGCAAGTAAGCCAATAAGCAGCACTTTTCCATGGGCTCTACTTTTAGTTCCTGCCTCCAGATTCCTGTCTCTAGTTCCTGCCTTGGCTTCCCAATGATGGACTGTAACTTGTAAGCTAAATAAACCCTCTCCTCTCCCAAACTGGTTTTGGTCAGAATTTTATCACAGCCAACAAAAGCAAACAAGGACAAAAAGTTTAGTAAGGAAAAATAGATGAATCTCAGGAAACACTGAATTTTGTTACATTTCACTCTTCCCAATTCCTATCTTCTCTATCTACTTTAACACTCAACTATAGAACTACAGCAGACACAAAAACCAAGAGTCTAGCAGCCACTGGAATAAAATAGTTTTAGAGCCCCTATGAAGCCCATTATCTAGAGAACTGTTATTGTTTGTCCTGTTTGGCAGCTCTTTGGACAAGCCTACTGTCAGGGCTTGTCTTTATTTTATTTAACTTAGAGCTTATCTAGTTATCCCCAGGACATTTGTTGAAAAAAAAAAAAAGGTCATATAATTTAACATTCTAGATACATAACACATTCACATTAGTTGGAACAAAAAGAGATCTACCAAGAAGCTTCAAGGAAAATCTGATAAATGAGATACGTATAGAGACCCGTGAAAAGATCTGATATATTCCTTGGATTCTAGACAGTCACTCATGTGCTGGGCAGCTCATATTGTCAGAAAGACTCAAGAAACTCAAATCTCTCATCTCTGACTTAACATGAGGTTCTGTACAAACAGAACTCTAACAAGATAGAGCTGTATTATGCTGGAGTACTAAAGGTGAGCCCCAGAATATACATAGAGCCCCTTAGCAAAGCAGAGAGATTTATTGATTTTGAGCATCTAAGAACATAGCTGTCTAATTGTTACATGATCACCAATTTAACTGATTGGAAACATCTATGGATACAAACAATCTAAAATATAGATATGAAAGAATTAGTTCAGGAAAGATCAGTCAATAAAGAAACATTACAGCTGGGCGTGGTGGTGCACACCTTTAATCCCAGCACTGGAGAGGCAGAAGCAGGTAGATCTCTGAGTTTGAGGCTGGCCTGGTCTACAGAGAGAGTTCCAGGACAGCCAAGGCTACACGAGAAACCCTGTCTCAAAAAACAAACAAACAAACAAACCCAAAAAAACTCTACCAACCAATCAAGTAAAAACTCAACCCCCCCAAACAATTAACAAACAAACAAACAACAACAACAACCAACACCAAAAAGCCCCAAAATGTGAAAACATCGTTACTAGCATAAACAACAAAAATCCACAACAAACCCTGAGGTGGGAGTAATCTGACTTTCAGAGTTTCCACATTAGATAAATGTCTAGCTTTCTCTAAGATATGTGGGATAGGATGAAGAGGAACAAATCTAAGGTCACAGACATAGAAAAAGTAAAAGATTTCATTCCAAAGGCATAGAAAACATTTTCAACAAAATAGCAGAAAAAAATTGCAGATTTTAGTGAAAGAGATGCTAGTCCAGATACAGGAAAGACATTTAGAATACCGAACAGACAAGACCAGAAAAGAATGCTCCCTTGACATATCATAATTAAACTATGAAATACAGAACAAAGGAAGAAAATACACTGAAAGCAGAAAAGAAACATTGAACCATGTATAAAGGAGCACAGTTTTGTTTTGTATGCAGATATCAAATCACTTCAGCAGGTTTGTTTAGGACCCTTCTTCCTTCATTAAATTGTCTTGGTGTCACCATTGGAAATTAATAGTGTAAATACAAAGATTTATTCCTGAACTATTCGGCTCAATTTTATTGATTTTTGTGTCTATCTTTTTGCATGTATCAATTTTTTTTTTTTAAAGACAGAGTCTCACAGTGTGGTCCTGACTGGCTCAGCCTTGAACTCAGAGATCAGCCTGCCTCTAACTCAAGTGCTGGAATTAAAGGCATGCTCTACCATGCCCCAGCTTGCCAGTGTCAATCTTGATTACTTGTTACTTTGTAGTAAGTTCTAAAGTGGGTGTTACTCTTCCAATATATATTTTTTTAGCAATGTCCCTTTCAATTCAATAAAACCACATCAGTCTGTACAAAAGTGGAGGTGGAATTTTGATAGGTTTGCATCAAAACTGAAGATCAATTTAGAAAAGTATCCCCATCTTAACAACATAACATTCTTCTAATCCAAGAAGACATAAATATCTTTCTATCTATTTGAGTTTTAATTTCCTTTCTTAATTATCTTATTCATCTTTATATAATACATGTGTATTTTTATTTAGTTATATTTATATGTGTGGTATGCATATATGCACAACTGGCCTACTTTTTAATTTAAATTTTAAATTTAAATCAGTGGTCTTTGACTGACTCAGTGAGATTGGTTGGGCAGTGGCTCTGGGGATCCTTCTGTCTCCACCTTCTTAGCACCTGGACTACTAGCATACACTTATATCCAGCTTTTTATGTGGGTGCTGGGAATCCAAATTTAGGTCTTCATACTGTACAAGAAGGATTTTGACTGAGCCATCTTTTCAGCCCAGAATTATTTTTTCCTACTTCAATTTTATTTTACCACTCTTCCTAAAATAAAACTAATGAAATATATAACGTGAACTCTTGTACTTGACACTCATGACAAGCTACCAATTGTTGTGGAATAGAATATTTGTTTAACTGTGTAAAAATGTGTTGTTTTACCTTGTTTGCATAAGGTACCCGATTTATCTAATAAAAAGCTGAACAGCCAACAGCTAGGCAGAGGAGGGATAGGTGGGGCTGGCAGGCAGAGAGAAAAGGGGGTGCCAGCCAGCCAGACATAGAGATAGCAGGAAAGCAGGATGGACAGTATGTAGATGAGGAAAATGAGCCTCAGGGTAGCATATAGATTAATAAAAATGGGTTAAGTTAAAAAAGGGATAGCTAGAAACAAGCCTAAACTAAAGGCTGAGCACTCCTAATTAATTATTATTAATACATAGCTGTGTTATGATTTAGGGGCTGGCAGTCCAAGAAAGCCTGCTACAACCATTTATCTGCACCTGATCTTTACATTGTCTTCCCTAGGCATAGTCAAAGCAAAACTGTTGGCTGTTTCAATGCTGTTCACACGAGGCACTAAATTGAAAAGGGCTTCTGACACACTGGGGCTGGTATTAGGAAGATTGCTAATCAAAAACCATGACATTGGCTGGGTGTGGCGGCACACACCTTTTATCCCAGCACTCAGAGGCAGATGGAACTCTGTGAGTTTGAGGCCAACCTGGTGTACAAAGCAGATGCCAAGACAGCCAGGATAGTTACACAGAGAAACTCTGTCTTGAAAAACCATCCACCCACACATGCATGCATGCATGCACACAGCAGGCTATTCCTGTTCTGGGTTTCAAATGAAGAGACCACCTATTTGTGTGCTACTCAGAAAGATTCCCATGGTGAGTTCCCCAAATCCAGAAAACAACAAGAGAATCTTCCTGCAGATAATCCCCATCTTTGCTCCTTTTCCTGGGACATTCTCTCCTCTCTTTCTCTCACATACTTGACAAAGGCTATTCAGAGGCATTGAAGATGATGGCATAGAGTTCCCTGTCCAGTCTTAGTGAGGCTCACAAGGCAGTCTGCAGACTAGGGTTCTTGGGTTCCCTTTCCAGTATCTGACCGTGTCCCCTTCTTTCTTCGTGAGTTCAGAGTTATGGACTCTAGGGATGGGCCTCCTTCTCTAGGCGCCCCCACCTTTGTCTTCCAAGGCCCCCCCTTTTTTTTTTTTTTTTTTGGTTTTTCGAGACAGGGTTTCTCTGTGTAGCTTTGCGCCTTTCCTGGAACTCACTTGGTAGCCCAGGCTGGCCTCGAACTCACAGAGATCCGCCTGGCTCTGCCTCCCGAGTGCTGGGATTAAAGGCGTGCGCCACCACCGCCCGGCCCAAGGCCCCTTTTGCTTCTTGTATGCACTTGGCAGGAAATGAGGCTATGGTACTGGGCCTGCAAGCCTGAATCAGGCTGGTATGGTGATATTTTATTTGTACTGAAATGTGATTTTATTTGTATGTTAATAAATAAAGTTGCCTGGGGGTCAGAGCTAATAGCAGGTCATAGTAGAGCAGGGTGTTGGTGGCGCATGCCTTTAATCCCAGCTCTTGGGAGGCAGAGCTAGGTGGATCTCTGTGTGTTCAAGGATACAGCCAGCATGGAGACACATGCCTTTAATCTCA